ATAAAATAGAATCAGAATATTAGGACTTAAAGTATAGAACTCACCTGATCCAGTCCTCCCCTTTAACATGCAAGAAAACTAGGTTAGCCATTTGCTCAAAGTAACATTGTTGTCCGTTAGTGGCAGAGAGAAGACAAAAAACTGCTGGTATTCTGACCAGCAGTTCAATACTCATTTCCTTTATACTGCATCGCCACTTAGAGTTATTTTCAAAGCTTTCAATTTTGATGTAAAATTGTGTTAATATTGTTGCCTTGATGTTAATTTCCATTATTGCCTTTGAAGTTTTCATGGGCTTCATTTTGTGTTTTTCTAGTACTTTATGCACCCTGAAAATATGTATGTTAATTAATTTCCCTTGAACCATTTAACTTTTACATTAAGAGCAAGGGATACATGTAATACTACTAACCATTTTCATTTTAAATCCTTAATTTATTATTTGCAACAGATGAACATATTTTAAACTTCATTTGTTCTCTGTTAGGTTAAGGTTTCATTCAAAGACTGTATTAACTAAAGAACTGGGAAAATGTCCTGTAGTTAATAATCTAAATAATGCTTTCCTTATAATGCGCTCCTGACTGCCACTGTGGTAATGTTCTTTCGTGATTGCTAAACTTGCATTTGTTTCATGATTTATGGTGTGTGCCCCATTTAAAAAACTACCATAATCTTATCTTTTCTGGAGAATAGGAGAAACATCATTTAGACTTGCAAATGACAAGGAGGGCAATTGGGTAAATTGGATAAACTGGGTTACCTGAGTTTTATTGGTCTGGTTATTTTCTTGCTATACTTACCTTTTTTTTTTATTTTACTTTTTTTTTTTTTTTTTTGCAGTACGCGGGCCTCTCACTGTTGTGGCTTTTCCCGTTGCGGAGCACAGGCTCCGGACGCACAGGCTCAGCGACCATGGCTCATGGGCCCAGCCGCTCTGCGGCATGTGGGATCTTCCCGGAACGGGGCACGAACCCGTGTCCCCTGCATTGGCAGGTGGACTCTCAACCACTGCACCACCAGGGAAGCCCTATACTTACCTTTTTAAACAGAAATCTTGACCAGTTATAAGTATTTGCTTATATTTGGCTTCATAAATCATATGACATCACATGTGCAAAGGTCATTCAATGATAATTCCCATAAATTAGTCTTAAGTCGAAAGGTGATAAGACTAGTTCCAAAACACAAACTTCTTTCAACTGAAATTTATAGAAATAGTCTCAGTACTTGGAAAGGATAAATGTATGCTATTTTTCTTCACATTAGTTCACTGCATCTCTGGTCTCATTGTCTGAGACCCTTGAGACTACAGTCTTTTATTATACAAATCTCTTAGGACATACATTATATTTTATGGTTTATTTTGTTTTTTTACAAAAATTTTAGTATGGGAAAATGTAAAAACATACAAAATCTGTCATTACTCAACTTCAACAATTATCAGCATATCAGTCAAATACCCTTATGTACTCTCCCATGCTCAGTGGATAATAGCAAATCCCCAAATATCATATCATTTCATATGTATTTCAGTATATATCTCTAAAATTAAAGACTCTTAAAAAAAATTAACCATACTATGATCGTACCTAAAAACTTTAACAGTTTCCATAATAGTATCAACTTAACTAGTCAATATTGAAATATCTCTAATTGTTTCAAAATGTTTTTACATTTGGTTTATTCAAATCAGAAACCAAATATTATCCACATATTGCATTTGGCTGATAATGTTTCTTAAATCTCTTTTAACTCATATTTTCCCTTCCTTCTTTTTTCCTTGTAATTTGTTAAATCCTTGAAAGTTTTTCAAATTTCAATTTTGCTGATTGTATTCCCATAGTGTTCTTTAATGTGGTTTTCCATTGACTGAATTTTCTGTAAACTGATTAATAGGTCTAGAGATTTGATCATATTCATTTTCATATTTTGGCAAGAATGGTTCAGGAGAATGTTGTATACTTATACCAGGATGCCAAAATGGCTGCTTGTTTCTCTGTGATGTTAAGATTATTCAGCGTTTTCAACAGTTGTCAGCCTGATCCGTCCATTATAACGTTTCCTATCAGCTGTCAAAATGAAGTTTTTAGTAGCAATTGATGATCATGAACAAGGATCCATTATTTCATTATGTGTTGCAATATGGTATATTCTCATGCTATCATTTATTTTTATTTATTTGGTTCCACTTTAAAATGTTATTTTGGTAAATTAAATAGGTACTAATTGAGCACCTATGATGTGCTAGCACTCTCCTAGACAGTATAAGGGGAAAACAAAATATGTATATATCATGGACTCTGCTCTAAATGAAAATAGAAACATTATGCTCAAAATGATTAGAGAACAATTATCATATGGTAAGTGAAATAAAAGAGAGATGAGTGTGTGTTGGAGAATGTTTCATGGAAAATGTGAGACACATGGTGGACCAAGAAGCACTTTCTGAAATAGGGGGAAACAGAGGGCATTTCAGGTGGGGGAATAGTTTGGGTCACGCCATGAGGCTAAGAACAAGAATGGTGGTATAAGGAAAGGCACAGGAAAAAACCTACCTAGAGATTACACATTAGCTAGGTTAAAGTAGGGCATTGGTTGGAAGTGAGAAAGCTAAATTCTTTAGGTCATATTTGGAGAAATTGACATCACCCCATGAGCTTTCTGGTATTGTTCTAAATACATTTGGCACATAGACTTTGGGTGGACTAGGAAATTACAGCAAAGTGGCTTAGGGAAATTCAATAGTCTAGAAGTTGATTTGTTATAAATAAAAGCTCATCTGAGCTTAAGAAATATAAGATTGTTCAAGTAATAGGTAAAATGTAAAGAATTAGTCATGTTGATAGATGTACATAGTAATAAAAATGGAAACTACAGAGATACTTGTGGTTTCACAGAACAAACAAGATTGTTTGAAAGAAGAGGCAGATGCACAGGGCTTGGTGTGAAGCTATGGCAAAGTTAAAGAAGTTGAGTTTAATTTTGGAAATGTTGTGTTTTGGGTGCACATACATACAGCAAAGTCTTTAAGCATTTGTTAGGATGGGATTGCAGACAAAAATGCAGAGTTGCTATTGTACATTTTAGAGTCAGACCAACAGAAGTGATAGGTTAACTCATAGGAGAGGATGAGCACATCAGATAATGAACAGAGAGAGGCTGAGGTTGAGAAAGGATAGCAATAGAGTTGGGGGTATAGGGTAGACACAGGAAGCAGGAAGAAGAGAAGAAGGTAGTATTCATTGGTGGAGAAGCAGGGGAGGACAGTGTTATAGCCGAGGAAGGAAAGAGTTTTAAACATGAAGAGATGGTTGACAGGGTTAAGTACCAACCATGAGGTTAAGGAAAGAGGGACCGAAAACTATCCTTTAGGTATCAGGAGAGTGATCCCTGGCAACGCTTGACAGGACATTTGATTTTGATATAGCATGTTGCAGATGGAAGGTGGGTACAGAAAGGAATAGTTGGGAAGTAGGAGGTCAGGACAGAAGGCATAGATGATCTTATTCTAGGAACAGGGTTCAAAACAAGAAGATAAATATGGCCAAGATAAGCAGTAGATGGGGAAACCTAAGTGTGCTTGAAAATCAAGGGTCTGAATTTCCTTGGTTATTTTGATAAATAGAGCAAAATATATTTTTAGAAAATAAACTTTGAATAATGAAAGTGCAAAAAGAGCTTAACTATTTAGTCATTTTAAAGCTCATCATATTTCTATGATATTTTATTTATTCAATTTTCACTTTATATATTACCATAATGAGTCATGGTTATATCAAATATGTAAGGCAAAGAGGTATTAAACTGAGAATGCTAGCTTCTTCCTTTTCCAAAAAAAAATTTCTGCATACCTCTCCATCTCCCTCCTCTCTGCTTCGTTAGCTACGTGTGTACATGGAACATGTGTTTGTTTTTATTTTGTTAGTGTCATTGGTTTACTGCTTACAAAGATAATACATGTTTATTGTAAAAATGTCACTTGGCATAGAAAGGCTTAAGGATAAATTTTTAAAATTCCGTGAAATGCTACTATTCAGAGATAACAATTATTATTGTTTTGGTAAACCTCCTTCCAAATCTCTTTCTATGTGTAGATACATAGATGATGATTTATATTAATGAGATCATACTATAAATGTGGTTTTGCACCTGCTTTTTTGCATCTAATAATATGTTGTGGATATTTTCTATGTTGATGAATATGGAAATGTAGATCCTTTTTCAATAGCAGTCATTGTATGACGATACCATAATTAATTTAAGCTATCTCTTGTTGCCAGACACTTAGACACTTTCCAGTTTTTCTGTTTAAGCAGAACTGCAGTGAATATTCCTCATGGGTACATTTTTGTGCACTTGTCCAGTTGATTGTCTTCTTTGAATAACTTCCCCAAAGTGGGGTTGTGGGTCAAAGACTATGCATGTTTTCTATTGTGATATGTATTTACATATTACCCAGTGTCCTCTAGAAGTGCTGTGCCAATTATACTTCTACCAGTAACACCTGTCAGTACCCAGAAAGTTCTTTTAAATGTCTTAACATTTTTTTCATCTTCATTCAGGCTCATTTTATTCACTTACAAAAATCAGGATGAAATATATCAGTAGTTCTTAAAAGTTTTAGGATATTAGGACCATTTGAAAACTGTTGACCAGAAACTGGAACTATTGTTCCAGAAAATCACAGCTGTGCAAAAACACAAAACTTTCACATAATGAGAATTCACAGATCCTTTAAAGTCAGTTCACGGACTCTTTAGGATTTCATTCCATGAATCCAAGTGAAGAATCTCTGAATGAGGTGATTTTAAAGTTGCTTTCTCCTTTTAATACTAACACACACACATCTTACACATACATCACACACTCATGTGCACACAGAATTTTAATGCGTACTTGGAAAATCTTTGACATCTGCTTGATTCAGAACCTAGTCTCCTTGTGATCTGTGAAATCACTTGAGTGTGTATAGTTATTGGAATGAATTTCTATTTCAGGTTCTTCAGTGGCGAGCCCACCAGGAAGAGGTAGCAAGACTGGAAATGGAAATTTCTGCCAGAAGGAGAGAAAAGGAAGAGGAGAAAGAGAAACTGTGGAAGAAGAAGGAATTGTTACACAGAGAAGAGAAGAAAAAAAAAGTATTTATACTGTTGCTGTGAATGTGTGAATGAATGTTTAATTGCCTGATTGAGATTTGATTGACCTTGGTGTTTGGCATGGAATCCTCATAAGCAGCTCTTAGAAAGATTCATAAGGTTCTAGTGGAGTCTTGCTTAAATATATTTGACCTTCAAAGACATGGAGGAGAACCCACTGTATTGACCTTCACAAGCACAAGTACATGTGATTAGAAGAGATACTGTAGATAAAGAAAAGATAGGGTTTGTGATTGTTGTTAAATCGTGTACTAAGTAGGGACATGGCAAAACCAGAGGTACTGGGGTACCATTTTGGTTGACTGCAGTACAGCAAATGACTATCAAAATATGTCCTTATTGGGAAAATACATTATACTGGGGTCAGTACAATTCATAGAATACCAAAAGGCCCTTTAAAGAATTTACTTCTTGGTTTATTATGTGTTAGATTGTTTGGTTTTTCATATTGATACAAATTCATCATCTACTTTTGAACGAACATTTGTTTCCCAATCTTCAAAATATTAATCAAAACACTTATTTTTTTATTTTTGGCTGTGCCATGCAGCTTGCGGGATCTTAGTTCCTCAACCAGGGGTTGAACCCATGCCCTCTGCAGTGGAAGCATGGAGTCCTAACCACTGGACCACCTGGGAATTCCCCAAAACACTTATTAACAGCTTTAAAATGATTTCTGATAACCTGTGGAAAGTAAAACATATTCAGAGGAGATTTTTTAAAAATATATGGGATAGGGCTTCCCTGGTGGCGCAGTGGTTGAGAGTCCACCTGACGGTGCAGGGGACACGGGTTCGCGCCCCGGTCCGGGAGGATCCCGCATGCCGCGGAGCGGCGGGGCCCGTGGGCCGTGGCCGCTGGGCCTGCGCGTCCGGAGCCTGTGCTCCGCAGCGGGAGAGGCCACAGCAGTGAGAGGCCCGCGTACCGCAAA